TTCTCCGTCGAAACATCATAAAAGCAAAGAGGTATTTAGCTGGTCTTCCTTTTCTACAACCGAAGACATTCTCGAGATGCATCTCTTCCCACCATTTCATGAAAACAAAGCCAGAGGCGAAACCCAAATAGCATAGTTTACGCATGGAAACTACTGAACTTTAGCCTCCAGACTTTAATAATAGCTGTACTTGAAAGCAAAACTGTCGAAGTTTTCCTCACCAGCGTGCCTACTTTGCCCGATAGCGCATGTCCTTGCCCGAATAGCTGAGTCAAACTGAAATAGACGGGGCTAGGATCCAGTCTCCGGGACCATTCCCCCTGCATTTTCAGGACGACAGAGTAATAATGTTTAATGTTTCTGCAATACAGATACTTTAGGTATGCTCCTTTCACAGATCCATCGGTATAAACAATCTTAAAAGCAAACTAGAATGTAGAAATTCTTTAAATTTCAACAGTTGGCCCCTCCCAGCTCCGTACTTATGGAAAACGTGCTTTTGGCCGAATTGGCCCATTGGTCTTCATTTTCGTTTCTCGCCTCGCAATAAAACCACAACTGCTATCACTTCTAGGCGCGGAAAACTTTAGATTCGTTTCTAAATAACTTTTGCTAGTTTGGTTCCCGCGAAGGTGGCTTACAGTCAAGATGTGTTGTTGACAAAGATAACAATAACTAAAATATCCACTTTTGGTCTATTTGTCCAAATTAGGCGACAACACCTGATATCCTATCCTTGATCCAATTAGGTACTCAAAGGAAGAGTAAAATTCTTGGCCAACTGAACAACGGAGTCCTGTCACGGCGGTTGCTATTGGGAATATTCGAAGGCAGATAGAAGGAGAGTTCACCTATTTAACCCGACGCTCCTATATAAAATATAATCTGGATTCCTTTTGCAAGCAGTACAGATAAATGAACGATGTTCCCCGTGAATAAGTGGACCAGAGATCAATAACTCAGATTGTGCCTCCTCAAGAGGAACTACATTTCTTTGAACTTGCAGATGCGGCCAGATTTTATCGAGTGAGTCGACAGCCAACGTTGACCTGAATAACGTTCTACTTGTTTTCATTGAGTAGCAATTATTTATCAAATTAAATATTTGATGATCGAATGATTGAAGTTCGATATTTGAAGACCCCACAAAGTGCTCGTTGGTTGTTTGACGTTCTAAGGAAAACTGAATCTTGTACCTCATATGCACTGAGCCATAAAAGGACATGAGTCGTTTGAACTCACCCTGGGTACACCGCATGGAAGATTGCGTGCATAATCTCGACACGCAGAACGTACATTAGCAGCGGGTAGACGGTGAGAATTTGGAACAACAGGGCCAGACGGCCCACAAAGCCAAATATGTCGGAGGAGGGTAAATTATTCAGTAGATTCTAAAAAGAGGCATGTTTTTTTCATTTGGCAAGATAGAAATCACAGAAAATGATGCAGACTCTAATGAAGTGTTGAAGCATGTTGAACGTTTGTTTTATTGAACTAGATCGGCGGCCGTAAATTTTTAACAGAACATGGTGGAAGTGACTCAGTGATGATTGGTCTCTTGCGTCTTATGAAAGTCAGTGACAGACCGCATTTGCAGAATGCTTGTTCTGGACACAGAATGTCGTCAGAACATGACTTGTCAGGTCTAACTGCAATTTTATCGTAAATTTTGAAATTCCATGCTCCTACTTACGACAAAAAACTGTAATTTGCAGCTTTCAAGACAACATTACGTACAGGCTTATAATAAACGACAAAAAACCGTAATTTGCAGCTTTCAAGACAGCAGTACGTACAGGCTTATAATAAAACTCTCCCAGTGAACGCTCCTCTTTCTTCTTATCTACCACCCGGGAATCGAATTTTCAGCACTATCAGTACGTACTATGTTTAGCTTGCATGCAAATTGCCCTACCATAACTCAAACAGCAACACTACCCAAAAGTGTACACACGATATATTTTATTTATTTGTGCACCGATCTATTCCTCAGGATGCGCCCATCCTGGGATAAATGGTTTTGCGAGTCCTAGGACAAAAACACACGATATAGTGATAGAGACAGGAGATCCATTGCTTGTAAATAATTCTTCTATCGTTTTTCTTTCTTTGAGAAGCAGACCTCTGAATAATTAAATGAGAAGGGATCTATAATTCTGATTAAAGATCTTGTTCTTTTTGCATCACTTGTTTTCCTCATTAGTGTTTCTAGTAGTTTAGGAATGGCGAAATACTACGCCAAGTCCTCTGGCTTCAAAATGTTTGCGTAACAATGAAAAGAAGTGACAAATGTTTTCAGGAAGAACACGACTGCGCATAGTGTTAACTCTTCAAAAACCCAGTACTAATGATTTTCCCGAACAGTTGACCTATTGAATGCGAAGCTCCTCGGCGACGATCAATGATACTTGAACATTATCACGGGCAAACATGATGAAAGCTGGAATGGACATATCAGACATCTTTGTTGTCTACAGCCAGCAACGTGGTTACAACTTCAATACTGCGGCCTTATTGAGTTCGTCCGGCCTCCTGAACGCAGCAGGATATGCAAGATGATGCGGTTTGGAAGCTGCGTACTGATGATTAAGTTGCTCTTTCCGACCGAGGAGCCGGCTTCAATGGACTATGGGCTTCTGCTAACATGCGATTTGAGTAAAGTAACTCTGGTCTATCTTTGGTACAAAAT